ATTTGGAACCCTTCTTATGTAGAGGAGTAATGTCGGCATGTTTCCATTCCTCAGGCAAAAGGCCAAGAGACAACGATTTGTTTATCATATATGTTAACGAAGGTGCTAATTCCGAAGCACACGACTTAAAAATGCACGGCGCGATATGGTCAGGCCCAGGAGACTTGTTGGGCTTGAGTTTCAGAAGATGGCGTTTGACCTCATTGACAGAACAATCAATTTTCGCAAGTTTCTTGTCAACACTGCAGTCTTGAGTGGGAAAATTTGCATAATCTTCGGTAGTAAACACCGAAGAGAAATATGAGTTCATACTCTGAGCAATACTGAAGTCGTCAGTCAGAGCACATCCATCGACGCTTATAGAGATGAGATTATTAGTGCCTCTTCTCTTGGACTTAACAAAATTCCAGAAAGGTTTCGGGTTTTCATTTTCCTGTAGATCAAGTGCAAGTTTCTTTATATACGACCATCTAGCTGTGTTACAAAGTCTCTTAACAGAATTGTTGAGTTGCCGATATTTTTCCCAAATAGTTGAATTGTTTTTTCTGCGAGCTCTATTATACAATAATTTCTTCTTTTTGCACAAAACAATAAGTTCCTGTGTAATCCAGGGGGCACTGGATCTCTTTTTATTCTTGCGTTTGGGAATGCACTCATCCACTGCTGTAAATAACAAGTCTTTCCAGCAAGCCCAATTATGATTAATATCGCTGTCGAAGAAGGCGCAATGCCATGGAATATAAGATAACAGCGATCTTAAGTGATCCCAGTCGGCTTTACCATAGCAATACAACAACTTCTGTGATTTACGCTGGACGTAAGGTATACCAGATAACGAGAAGGAGATAGAATTGTGATCTGAAAAGGGTTCTCCAACAACCAAATGGTTTACGAGGTCGGGCGAAGTAGTGAGAACTAAGTATCACAGAGGTTTTTTCGGTACTTTGACCTGTTTAACACCTAAAAAGAAGAACACATACATAACACACACAATCAGCCAGGTCAAAATGTGCTGCAGCCAACAATTTGGCCACCTACAATGAAATAGCCGCCAATTTCACACATGTCAGACTTCTATTCAGGACAAGATTTGGCCTCTGCTGCCTATTACTATTGCCACCTTGCCTGCCACTCAAAATTTCAACTTAGATTATACATACATACATGTGGGATTAGGTTCCATGAGCGAACCTGCACTATTGAAAGAGGTCAATGAATTATAACTCAAAGAAACATTGAAAGATGAAATAAATTAATAGAAATGACAAAAATTTAACTAACAGCAGACAGCACTTTTTTGGCCTTCGGGGCCTGATCAGTGCAGTGATCTTCAACTAAGTGCTTAATTTGGACATAAAACCAAAACTTGTTATGGTTAAATATTATTATTTTTCTTTCAATATTCCCATTCCAGTTGATGTATATTTTTTGAATAACAAATCTTATTAGCATGTTAAAATCACCTGAGGACAAGGCATACACTTTGCCAAAATTGCTTTGCATCAAGTACGTTATCTAGTACATCATTACCATCTTCAGGTATTTCTAATTTACTCTTGAAAATCACACAAATCATAAGCTATATACAGCATACAATTGGCAGCAAATTATTAAAAAGGAATGCAGTAATCTTTAATAATAAGATTACTTAGTAGCTAAATAACAAATAGCCTAGTCAAAATGTGCCTGTAACCAGGGATTTGGCTGTCCACACAGAACATTTGTTAGGCGTCTAGTCTGGACAAGGTTTGGCCTCTACCTTCTATTTCTATAGCCAGCTTGCCTACTTTGAAAAAACATTTTGACTAGGCTGAAAAAATGTTTGAGAGAAAAATGGCCACAACAAGCCCACTTACTGCAAAATAAGAAACATAAAAGTAACACTTCAAATTAATACAGAATATAAGCCTTGCAGGATTTGGCTCTCAATAAAATTAGTTAAAATAGCCGATCTTGAGTTTAACTACTCACTCTAAATGGGCTGACAGCCTGCAATTTGGCCGCCTACGATGAAGTATCTTCCACTGACTTCACACCTTTCAGACTGCTTTTCAGGATGAGGTTTGGCCTCTGCTGCCCATAATTACAACAGCCAGCTTGTCTACTACTAAAGAACATTTTGACTGGGCTGTGCAAGTGTTACTAGCATATAAAAAGCACCTTCAGGTAAATTACAGCAAAGCAGACTTTGTACCAAAACACTTTGCATTAAGTACATCATTACCCTCTACAGGTATTTCTAGTTTACATGTGAAAATCCCACAAATCACAAGGTATATTACATCATACATGTTGACAAAGCAATCAGGGGTAAATTTTTCATAATAGGATGCAATGGTCTTCAGTATCAAGATTATTTGGTACCTAAATAGTAAAATGTTCGAGAGAAGAAATAATCGTAAATATTTTTTCTTTCTTATCAGCATCGACGGCAAAGTTTCCGCACAGCCCCATACTTCATTATGCATACAGTCCTTTGTTAGAAGAAAACAATAGCGCAAACAATAGACTACCTTTGGGACTATTCGCTTTGTTTTCAAGAAGTTGAATTTTTTTTTTAAGTCTTTACTCAAACCTTTAAAAAATCGCCGTTTTTTAATTAAAAATTGCGCTTAATCGAGCGCTGATTTAAAATATGTAACAGTCAAATAAAAAATTACTATGCTTTATGAAATCTATAAATCAAAACAGCTTAAATTCCGCCTCATATTAGCCTCAAAATTGTTGTTTTTGAAAGCAAACATTCGTAAAACGATGAAAATAAAATCGATGCTCACCTTTAAAGTTGTTCATTGTCGTTGTCGTTTTTCCTTTTCTCTTTAACAGTAGAGTTGCTTATTTTTCTCTCTTCATTGAATGTTTATTTTCATCCGCGGTGGTTGTGTAGACAGGCACCAGCACATACAGAGGCACGAGGAGCTCAGTTTTTATGATGTCTTTCGAACATCATATACTTCTGTGATATGCTCGATTATATTTCCAAGAGGATCTTCTCCATATTGCTTACGCCACAACCATAGGTAGCTACCGAAGAGATCTTTGGATATTCCTGTACGAGGTATACTTCGTTTGATTCCCCATCGTGTATTTTCAATGCGCTGAGTATGAGCGCCTGTGTCTGGGTCTACGAAGTTTAGGCTGTGGTTCACTGTGAGATGATTGTAGCCCTCGTCCTGTAGGCAATCATAAACTTAACACATGTCGCTCATCACGCATATCCCCGGCAATATTTGAGCGCATATAACGGGTATGAGCGTATCTTTATCCCTGCGCTCTACCGGTACAAGGATGCAGGCCTTGGTTTCACGGCAAATGCCATCAAAGACCAACTTTCCTTCGACGTAGCGACCGCGGCGACACGTCTCATTTCTTCGTGCAAAATCCAACATGTTTTAAAGGTGAGGAAAATGATTTCAGTGTTAATTTTTGGAATTTGAATAAGGTATTAGAAATATAATTTTGAAAGTTACCCTTTATCGGCAAGAAGCACATGTAGAACAATGGTATAGAGGGTAGACTGCTAGTCTGACGAAGACGATAGAGAATTGAGAGTTCGAACCCTGCAGGTAACGTAAAAAAAAAGAAACAATAGACTGAGAGGGGCCTTGAAGGAAAGATGCCTGCCAGAGAAATGGGGAAGAGAAAGAGGGGAAAATGGAGAGAGAGAGAGAGGGAAAAACAGCGCGGAAAGAAACGCTGTGAAAAAAAATCCTCTTTTATTAGTGCAGTAAGTAATAATTAGGGATGTATATATTCAATTACCAAGGGAATTGTCTATTGTATTCAAAGACAAAGGGTAGAATGCATAATTAATAAGATGTGCATGCATAATGAAGTATGGGGCTGTGCGGAAATTTTTCCGCATCGACTTCCAAAAATAATGGATAATGACCACCTAAAACAAAGAAGAAATAAATCAAATTTGTGATTTCACAGGGCTTCAATACGAAACAAGTATGCATATCTTTTATTTCCTACCACTTACAAGTGGCAGGAATGGCTGAAATGGCCTTCACGTGAACACAACAGAATCCTATGCGTGTATAACCATGTAGAACTATTTATTCGGTATCGAAATTACATCCCAAATGTCATGATATTTGACTGAAACTCAGCTTACCCATCTTTCGTTTAGACCTCGAAACTTACTGCTTTTTACCACCGTTTCAATGTTTTCTTGTTGTTCAAAAGGTGGTAGGGCCATTGCAGACCGTGATTTTTTTTTACTTGAGAATGAGAACCAGGTCACAACACCCAAGCCTTTTCACGCTAAAATATTAAACTACTGAGATTTCCTTCGCGCCGGCAGAAATTTTTTTTGGGATCACTTTCTGAAGGGTCAGCATTAGATTCCATCCACCAAAACCACCTCGGTCGAGAGGGACTGAGATGGAATATTTAATGACTTGCAAAACATAACCGAAGATTCTCGGAAATCCGCAAGTGATGTAGCCGAACATCAAAAGCTGTAAATCCCATGATTCTTGAGGAACAAACAGAAACAGCATAGCGAGAATTTTAAGTCGCGAACCATTGATGGTAGACATGCAGATAATTTAGGATACGTAAATTCTGTTGATGAGGCGCATAAACTTATTGCGGAATTTGAAACAGGATTGACGACGAAGTTTTCTTTCTTTAAAGCTGTCAAAGGTTTCGGGAACACCGGTGTATATGAATATATATATATATATATATATATATATATATATATTGATATAGCTCTTTGACATTACAAAGCTTTGCTATCGCTATTGTGCATTCTCACTAGTTTATCTAGTTCAAGTTCTACCACAATTGTGGAATCATTCGGATTAATTTAATGCTTACACCTCCTTCCTCGGACAGAAGTCACAAAATACTGGGGGAAGATGCATGAGATATTTAAGGAGCAAAAATTCGTTTTTTACTGGTGTGCCTTTCCTAATTTTGGGAAGGAAAGTGTTCAATTGCCAGCACGGCATAGATAGAACAGCTGGAGAGAAAAAGAAACGAAAAGATGCAGAAGAAGTACTGTATATAATAATTTCTTTTTATCCTCAACCTTTGTGTTTCTGTCAACTATGGCTTGCTAATTCAAAAGGTCAAATACATGAATGGGTCATATGACATTGATCTCAGAATACTTTTATGACAAACGTGATAACAGTTCAATCTTGACTAAATTGAAGATGGTTTAGAAGTTAACAATTATAAGAACTTTTCACTAACATATGCTGCTGACAAAGGAGAAAATATATGCAATTCTGCATTTTTTGCTTTCTATCAAGCAATCATATGTTGGCTCCTTATCACACTATGACACTTCCGTTTTGTCACATTCCAAAAAATAACTTGAGAAATACACTGTCACTCATCTTACACTGTTATATTTACCTATTACAGAAGGCTGGAAACAAAGATTTTGTTTTCAAGAAAATAAGATTTCTTGTCCAAGACACAAGGAAGTTTGACTGCAAAGCACAGATAAAAATGCGAGAAATTTTTTTTTTCAGAGAACAAGGTAGTTCTACTCATGTATAAACAGAACAAATCCAATTTAATAAATCAGATATGCGGCATGACTCCTTTTCTTCCATCCCCACTCAAAACAAGCAAACACACCTATAGAGGTTCCAGTCTGGTCTGCAAATGAAAAGGAGGAAGGTGATCACTGCAAAATTAAGCATTAGGGTTCTTATTTATAACATATTGATTATTGTATACTGATATCTAGAAATTAAGGTTGCAAGTAGCAGCCAGCTGAGTTATAGTTTGAGTTTTATCAAGTCCATTACTTTGTTAAATTTAGAGTAACCTTGTCTTGAGAGAGGAAAATTGAGGAGCTGTAATATACTTATCATCAATTAGGGACCACAAAGAAAAATTTATTTATAGAGACTTTTGAAGGAGAGGGGTAAGACTTGTGACAAGCTGGCAGACATATAGATAAACTTTACTGCTAAATGGGTTACAATACAAAGTGCTCAGTATTTGGATCAGCTATGGCTCAACTTAAACTTTGCTTTAGCTTCAAGTTTAATCCTTTGTGGTTTCCTTTCTCTGTGTTTATTTTTCAAGTTATGTACACAGAAGAACACAAAAATGACAAGGAATGCTTTTGAATATCAAGAGGCTGGAATAAGCAAGAAACCAAAACTGAATTTTAAACAGTACAAAGTTAATTTGATCTTCCAATGTTATTTAATTTTAACCATAGAATTTGCTATTTAAATTTATCCCCTCCATTTTTCTGGGTATTGTGAGCAAAAACAAACAATTATCACAAAATGCATGGTATACAATGGTTTGATTCACCAATGTGGCAAAGGCCTTTCACTGTCTATCCATAAAAAGGGAAATAGTTTGTAAAATGTAAGACATTCTGCATCTTGAGTGTATACTTATTCATCCATGTGAAATTAAAGGTTACTTGAAATAAATGTGAAAGATTTATAGGATTTTCAGACCCCTGATAACAATTACTAATGTGCTGATTTGTTGTACTTAAAGGTTATGATTTTAGCGGAAATAGTGGAAGAAATTTCTGGACCTGGAATTTTGTTGCAAATGTTTGTTTAAATCAGTTTAAGTCAGTTAAAAACTCTCCTGTTTCAAGATTACATGATTACCACACCAGAACCTTTTGTATTCTATATTATGCACCATGTTATGATTATGGTTTCAATAATAAAAGGTGCTGACTCAAGAACTTTCCAAAATATCTCTACATACAAAGAAATAGATTGTGGTTATGTACTCCAAATAGCAGGTCACATCAGTCTTCTGTAAGGAAGTAGCAGAAATTTCTGTGGTGGTTTTGGTGGATGGAGAGAAACATCCACCAAAACCACTTTATTCTATGTGTTAAGAGTTATGATAATCATTATGAACGTTTGGTCGGTCAGCAATTGTGCACCATAAAAAATAATTAGCCAGAGCACTAACTGCTAATTAGTGGTATAAATCTTTTGTCTCCCTGAACATCTAACAGTGGCTATAGATAAAATTTAAAAAATATATTGTTGATGGTTTTGGTCAAAGTTTTGGTGGATGTTCCCTAATGACATCCACCAAAACTACGTAACATCTAAGCACCTTTTAAATACGTGAAATATCTGCATAAAATTGCGTAAAATGTTTTATAATACTACAATCGAACAATAAATTAATACTTACCATTTCTTTAGTAAAAAGTTTTGACGCAATTTCCCAAACAAATAATACACTTGGGTCATCGGGATAAGTCGGCATGTTGTCGTAGCTTCGTAATTTTTTTCCATCATTCCATCTCAGTCCCTCTCGACCAAGGTGGTTTTGGTGGATGGAATCTAATGCTGACCCTTTCTGAAGGAGCTTAGAAACCAGGCTCAACTCAGTAGCCAAGCCTACTGAATTTGTGCCCAAGCCTTTTCTTGCTTGCGTGACCTTTTTTGTCACATTAGAATACAAGGAACTTCGGCGAGTAGTAAACACAAGCTCAAGCTCAAATTTTTAAAGCAGCTAAGAGAAAAACGTTTTGAGACTGGAAGGTAAGTAAGTAAGTATTTTAGTGTTTTACAACCTAAATTTAGTGTTTTCTTTTGTAATTTTACAACGTAAATTGTCAAATCAATAACTCGAAAAGCTTACAGCTAAAATTTAACTCTTTATTAATAACCTTATACTTTCTTGATCTGATATCTCAATTAGCGATAACACCAGAAATAATTTGCTTTTGTGGTATATACTATATGTATACCTAACATGTTGAAGTACGTTGTCATGAAATAATGCACTTAGCAACATTTAATCTTATTACACAAAGCTGAGTTAATGTTTAAATTGTTCCCTGGACTGCCTGGACATTTGAGGCAACTGATAATGCATTTTGGGAGTGGTAGGGATGCTTACTTCATAGTGGCTATGGCTGTACCTGTCCTTGAATTTGCCCTATTGTTTTTAATAGATTTTCCATGCATTGTCTGTTATTTTTTTTCAGGAAATTTTAGTCTGAAAGAAGAAAATTCTTTTACAGAAGAATCCTTTTCCTGTAACGTTTACAACTGTTGCTTACGTTTGCCATATTTCTGATATTTTTATCATAACAGAATTTTTCACAAAAATTATTTGACATTGAATTCTTATACAAATACTGCAAGGTCAAGCCTGCCCACCAACCCATCAAGATGGTGTTGAAAACTGTAGTAAGGTCTATTGAATATAGTTAAAGCACTGAATTTCACTCCATGACTTACTACTACAAAATATGGGGCTTTTTTATGATTAGGTACCAAACAAAAAAAAATGCTTTCTTGGCTCATTTGGATCAAGCCACCTAATATAATTGACAAAGATTATTTGACATTGGATTCTCATACAAATACTGCAAGGTCATGCCTGCCTACCAACCCATCAAGGTGGTGTTGAAAACTGCAGTAAGGTCTATTGAATATAGTTGGAGTACTGAATTTCACTTTATGACTTACAATTACAGAATATGGGTTTTTTTATGATTAGGTACAAAACAAAACTAAAAAAAGCTTTCTTGGCTCATTTGGATCAAGCCACCTAATATAATGCAATCAATGTCTTGTTTTCTGTATCGTGAGTCATTGCTCAGTTGGAATTGATATTTAAATCTAAATTATAATCATTTAAATCCAACTGAATGTATTTCTTTTATTACTTTTCCACTGACTGCCAAACCAGCAAGCCTTGAGGCATTAAACTGTGAGGACTTTAAAAAAGGCCCTATATTGTTTACACGTAGCTGCTTTGGGGGAGGGGAGTGGTAAAGTTTCAAATTTGGTTAAGAGTATGTAACACAATAATAATAATGATAATAATGTTAATAATAATAATAATTCATTTTTTCCATCATTTGTTGCAAATGCATCTGACCCAGAGTCATTATTGGAACATACCAGAATAGCCTTTTTATTAATGCAAGGCCTCAGTGGTGCACAGATATGATATGAAAATAATTTTTGCGTGAGGCATCAGTCAATTTAGGAATTACCAAGTGTAAAATTTCAAGTCAATATGGTCCAGAAACTACTCATTTTTGTAGAGGGTGGAGCTGGGAGGGGTGGAGGGGTCGAAATTATTAGGTTTGCGTACCGTTTTCACTCTTTGCATCCTGAGCACTCATACACGCACACTTCAAATGGATGCTCAACACAACAGCGTCAAAAAATAATCAAGCAAATGACTAAGACGTGCAAAGCTTCCACGGTTAATATAAATTTACCGCTATAAAGAGTGAAAAGGCCTTAAAGATTTTACACGTAGCTTCTTTAAAGGCACAACTTCGTATGACGTTCTAACAAGATTATCAAGTTGTCAAATACGTATTTTCATATGATTGATACCAATTGCTTTATTAAGTCGAAATAAGCTTAATGTCAAGAATAAATAAGCGGATTACTACACTTACGACGAATTTTGTGGTCCGTTAAAAAAAGTACTTGGTTCAGTTACGTAGTTCACCGAAAGGTTAATTTTTTTTGCCTGCTAGGATTTCTTTTAACATTGAATACATTTTCAAGACCTGTACTCGACGAGGTGCACTTCTTGCGATTGTTCTGCAATCTAGCGAGTCCTTCGGAAAAACGTCACCGAGAGCAGAGGTAAGACACTATTCAGAAGCAAGTATTTTCTTGGTTTGAAATTCCCTTCGGTTCCATTTGACCGTGAGTAGAGTTTAGAATTCTCGAAGAAAGCGTGTTTTAGCCAAAGGCAGAAGATTCGTATTTGAACGGAGCGCAGCGAGATAAGGTAATATTCTTTCACGCGAAAATGAAAAAAAATAGGGTTAATAGATAACTTCCCATTTCTTTTTTCTCGCGCAAGTAACAAAAATGTTCCCTTCCATGTCCCCATCCAATCGCACTTTAACCAGTCGGGGGAGGTGAGTATAAAATTGTAAACAAATCATCAGAAGGCTTGGTTACCCAATTGAGCCTGGTATCTAAGCTCCTTCAGAAAGTGATCCCAAAAAAAATTTCTGCTCGCCGCCTAAGCCGCCATTTTATCTTTCCCTGAATACTAGTTCCCAAGCTTCGAGCCCGAAGGTCTCAACATGCACCGAAATTATGCTATTCGTTATTTCAGGGCCAATTTAGAAATAACGATAATCGTTATTTTGGTCTCGAGATCATGTTGCGCTCGTCAGGTCTCTGGTATTGGTGTCATAAGTGTCGCAAGTGTCGCAACAAATGAAGGACGGCATGAAGGAAATTAAGGAGGCTCTATAGGGTTTTTTTGACCACGCGAGATCTTGACGCGAATATGGCGCTAGCTTTAAAATTGTCGACAAGCAAAACAAATAGGGCAGCTCGATACGACTGCACGATTCTGATTTCAAGAGGTGTTTACAAAAGTTTATATCCACATCGTGGACTCTGGGAATTACAGCAACAACACCCAATGTATTCCTAGGCCTTTAACTCCTGAAAAAGTCCGACACAACATCCGTGGTGCGTTCGTTCGCTTCGAGAATACCTCGAAAGGAAAGAAACAAAGGGGGAATAATTGCGTAAAGGGTACAAAATTTGGCCAGCCAAGCGAAAACTTAACTTCGAAGACGACTACATCGGCGCTACCTCCTCTACCAGAGAGGAGCTCACTCGATTTATAACCGCCGTCAATTCCTTTCACCCGGCTCTTAAACAAACCTGGGAAACCTCCGACATTTCTATGACTTTTCTAGACATCAAAATTTCAATTTAAGGCAACGGTCTATGCAGTAGTGTTTACTACAAACTTACAGATTCATATAGTTACTTGTTGTATTCATCTTCGCATCCATCGTACGTCAAGAATTCCATACCATTTTCACAGTTTCTCAGAATTCGTCTTGTAGTGACGACTCCGAATTTTCCGAAAAATCAGAGGCAATGTGCCAGTTTTTCGATAAACGTGGCTATCCTGTTACTGTCGTTCAAGCGGGTCACCACCGCGCCCAACAAGTTGATCGACAGTCAGCACTACAAACGGCTGAGAAGGAAAACACTGATCACATTCCATTCACTCCCACATTTTACCCTCACAACTACGCAGTTAAATCCATCATTCTTAAAAACTTTAAGTAACTCCAAAACAATTCAGAGACTGGTACTATTTTTTCGCAACCTCCACCAATTTCATTCAAACGTGACAAAAACATAGGCAACTTTTTGGTCAGAGGTTCATTTCAAACCAATGAGCAACTTGGAACTTTTAAATGCGCTCGCTCACGATGCAAAACTCTCCCTTTGACTCATAACATAAAGAAATTGTCGGGACCCAAGAGATCCATTAAGATCATTGATCAATTTACGTGCACTTCGCCAATGTCATTTACTGCATAACTTGCACTCATTGCAAAAAGTTACATTGGTCAAACAGGATGACGACTAGGTGACCGATTCCGAGAACACCTTCGCGACGTACAAAGAAATGACAAGGACGCATCTAAACCAGTCGCTAGACACTTTAATCTCCCTAATCATTCCAAACAGCATATGGCAGTTTGCGGCCTTTTCCTATATTTAGGCAAAACAAAAAACAAAAATTTATCTTCAAAATCGGCACTCTTAATCCCCACGGTATCAACGAGCGCTTTTCATTCAACTAATGTATTCTTGTTTTCTCGTCATCATATTCCCACCAAAAGCGTAACTCCATTTTCTATATATAAACCCACACATAACCCACAATTCCTCCTACCCAGAACAATAACCTTCAAGTATTCATTTGACCGGGTTAGTATTGAAAATGGGAAAAAATGACCGTTTTTCAAGAAATAATGATCGAGAATTGTTAGCAAACCACAGCCCTGGCTCAGCCAATAGTTTTAATCTTAAGAGAGTGCTCTAGAATAGCTATTTGCTCATGCACAAAACAACTATATGTGATAAGAGCGTTGGCTTTCCTTTCTTAATTAAAAAAAATTTGAGGTTATCATCTTTCCCTCAAGCTAAGTGGACATTAGGAGTGAATAAGACTAATAGTGACTATTTTATTTGAGCAAATATCCAGAGGAGGATAAAAAGTAGGATATGGTCTGCACAACTCTCTTATTTTAATTTTTTTAACCTAGAAAGCTAAGGCATTTAAATTCAGGCATTGTGCAATGCGTGGACGCCAATTGATTTACCTTTTATGCATCAAAATACAAAAAACTTTCTCTTCATCTATGAGCCCTGAACATTAAAGGGGATGTGTTTCGAATATCTTGTGACCAACTCCTTATATCAATGTTTAGTTTAGGTATGAGCATTGGTGAGAAACCAATGCAATGCACTATTGCAAGCTTGAGCAAGAGTATTTAATGCAATCTAAATATAAATAATATTACATGTTACAATGTAGTAA